TAGTGATGGGCATAATCGACCAATTTTGATAATCGAGTTATCGGTAATCGAGTACTTCTAATAATCGAGTGATCACTCGAGATACGAGATATCCATGGTTTTCATCCCAGCGGCGCACAAATATGTTTGTATTAGTCATATATTACTTATAAGCGTAGCTAAAAAAAAAAAGCTCACGCACTTCAAAACCTAACCACTTTTTCGTTTTATTCTAAAAAAAAGGTTACGCAATCAGTGACTATTTGCAGTATGCACTAACATTTTAGGGTGCAACCGTAGGGTAATAATCACTCGAGTGGTGGGAGTAAACATCTCGAGATATCTCGAGTGATCTCAATAATCGAGAACCACTCGATTTTTCACTCGAAATCTCCCATCACTAGTGTCGTCTGTCAAAATGATGCCAAGGAAGTACACAGTCAAATGTCAATTTTTTTCTAAATATTTTTTTTATTTATCAAAATTTATCGTGTTTTGGTCATGTCTTTGATGTCATTGAAGGTAGTTTTTAATTAAATATTTCAAAACAGTATTTTTAAAGTACTGTTTATCTTGCAGTGAAAAACATGTTACATAGTGCTATATTCAGTCGTTTGTCACAAAATATGTTCGTGTAGGTAATTTTTTTCATAGAAAAACTTAACCTACTGTTAATAGTTGTTATAATGGCTTTAAAAAATGATGTTTATATAAAAGAAGAGCCAGAGGATGACAGTGACGATTTAGCCGTTGTGAAAACTATGGTTCCCGAGGTTAGTGTTAAATTGGAAGAAGACACTTTTATACAAGATAAACCAGAATTTGTCAGTTTGCAAGGTGATGTCGATGTAAAGGAAAGTAGTGCTGATGCTTTTATGAATCATGTTTCACAAGACAATGAAACTATTGAAGTCTTACATGACAACTCATCTGAAAATCGAAATGAAATAAATACAATTTATGAAAATACTTGTCTCTCTAAAATTTCTCAGGAAATGAATGATGAAATACAAGAAAAAACAGACTCTGAGGACTCGTTAAGTGATGAAGATGAGGATGAATTTACGTGTAGAGTTTGTAAACAAAAATTTGCTGATGAGTTTGAATTAGAAATACATTTTAAATCGAGAAGGTTGTATGAAAAGTGTTATAAGTGTTGCGGATGTGAAAAACAATTTAGAGACAATACACAGTTAACTGTTCATTCTAGGAAGCATACTGGGGAACAGCCGTATTCATGTAAAGTTTGTGGGAAAAAGTTTTCAGTTAATGGTAATCTAAGTAAGCATATGCGTATTCATACAGGTGAGAGGCGATATGAGTGCAATATTTGTCAGAGGAAGTTTACACAGTTTGCCCATTTGGAAGATCATATGAAAACACACTCGGGTAGGTGTTATACCAAAATTTATGAAAGGGAAACCTCTGGCCAAAATTTATACATCTGCAATACTCATTTTTGTAACTAATTACTCAAATATTACTTACAAATAATACAAAAGAAGTAGAGAGCAAGGTGTGGAAAGTATTACTCAAGTTCATACACTAAATTACTCTTGTGGTTTCCTTTTCAAAATTTTATTCAAAATTACATGTAATATTTTTCATCTAAAATCTATAAAAAATATATGTATATTATTCCAATTTTCTTTTTCATTGGCATGTATCTATCACTACAAATGCAAGACTAAAAACTAGGAGGCGGTACTCTCAGATCTAAGAATGCTTCCTGCAAAAATAAGCAATTTGTTACTTGCATTTTAATAGTAAGGTAATAAATGATAAATGTGTGATTTATCAGATCCAGCCCATAAAAGGTCATAATTTGTCAGCAAGCATCAGCCTTACTGTAACTTATTTGAAAATATAGCTTATAAAACCAATGACAAATATATTTAAATAAACACGTTATTTGTTGTTAGTTTACCTGCAATTTCTATACATTTTCTTAGATATAAAGATTTATTTTACGCCGGTTGGCTTTTGAGCAACACTGATTTAAAGCCTTTATAAATGAAGTTTAATTTATTTCCTCCTTTATTTCGTAGGCTCATCTTGCCATTTCTATTTCAAATATACCTTTAAGTTATTTACATGACAAATAAGGTACTAAAAATATGTCTCAAAATGTTACTGACCTTTAATTATGCGCTCTTCAAAAGGGCTTATAGTTCCCTTAGAAAACTTTTGGATTATTGGTTTATTGGAACTTTTCTTCTTATTTTTGAACATATAATCTAGTGATGAAATTTGGTAAATTAATTACCTACAGTCGATTTGTGATCAACACTTTCCTGATAGAATTTTAAGGTTGATATTACTTGAAAATGGTAGTACATTCTGTTGAAGTCCAATGAGAACACCTTTCTTTTGAAAACAAATATGATTTTTGTATTTTGTATTGAGACTTGGAAATAATACAAGAGCTGCGGTTGTTACAGCAGAGATAGTGGAGTAACATTGTAAGTCGCTCTCAGCGCCGGACTGGCCATAGGGAAAAAAGGGAAAACTCCCGATGGGCCGCGGCCCGAAAGGGCCGCTTCGCCCAACATTTAATTAGATATATTTCAAAAATTTTAAACTTTTAGAGTGGAAATCAAAAAAAATAATTGTTTTTTTCTTGGACAATTTATTTAAGAGACATGCAAGTTAAACCACAGATGCTTTTGGGATAAAGGAAGTTCATTATTTGCAAAACTGCAAACAGGTGTGAGTTAAACTCTAATAGGCAGGGAAAAGCAAGTAAAACCTAGTATCAATATTATAGTAAAACCGAAGGTAGCTGAGTAAACCTTATATAGGCTGGGGAAAGCCTATATAAAGGTTTAAAATCACCTGCCTTTGAAGAACTCTTCGAAAAATTGCAATTTTTTAATCCAGATACTTCTGCCGAAAAAGCAAGAGAAGAAATGCTACATTTAACAAATAATTGGCGAAAAATTAAATCGTCACCTTTGGACGAATACGAACAAAATGATGACGTGGATAATAGTGATATTGAGCTTTTAACCGGTAATGACGATGATGACGATGTTAGTCATAATGGTGACATAGATGATGATGAAATTACTTCGAATGTTAAAGACAGTCAAAGTAAAGAAAAACAAAAAAATTTTGCAAAAACTATGCTGTGTGCTGCTATAGAATTTTAAACAAGTATAATCTTCTTACGGGCACTTATCCAACGCTTAGTTTAGCATACAAATATCCTAACTCTTTCTTTTATGCAGATGGTTTGTGAGCGATTGTTTAGTATTTTAAAATTTATCAAAAATTGGTTGCGAAATTCCATCGGACAAGAAAAATTAGAAGCCTTTATATTTATGAACTCTGAAAATGATATTTTAAACAAGATCACGATTAACGCTGTAATTGACTTACTAACTTCAAAACATCCAAGTTTTAAAAATAAGCTTTTACTATAATATTATTTTCAGATTTGTCAGATGTATTTTAATCGAAATTGCTGAAATTATTAAAATTAAGTTTTACATGTATGTAATTCTTTTGTATACTATTAGGTTAATACATATGATTTAACAATACGCTTTTTTTGGTTTTATTTTCGTACAAATAATTGTGGTTTATTCTAGAATTAAGTTCTTAGATTACAGCTCTCATATTTTCATGTCTTATAGAATACAAATTCGTATTCTATGGCTTGATGGATTTAGAAAAGTCTCTAGTAAAAAGTTACCGAGTAAAGTGCTTAAAAGTAGTCGAATGTAAGGTAAAATTATCCACTGAAAAAAATAAAAGAAATCATAAACTAATTGATGGATAATATAAAAAATAATACATTTAAAAATTTTCAAACTTCTCAACTTTGGACAATTCGGCATAAATAACGACTATTTCAAAACTGTACACTAGAAAAATCCGTTTACTTTTTACTATGGCAAGCCGAGTCAGTTTAGAATTTTTTAGGGCCGCTAGTTTGAAAAATTCCCGGGCCGTTTTTTTCTCCCAGTTTGGCGCTGGTCGCTCTCTTAATCGCTCCTCTTTTGACAGATAAGTGACTCTATGGGTGAAATTTGGCTGTAGTACAATTGTAGATGACTGCAGAAGTGTTGTAAATTTGTTTTTATTAATTTCATTTTGGGGACTAACCACTGGAGTAGAAAAAACTGCTCACAAAAAGTAGTTTTTACTCCGACATTATTAGTTCTGATCTATTTCCAAATCAAACTCTAGAGTGAGTTTTAATTTATCCTGATGAGAGTAAAATAATTAGAATATCTAAAATTTCATTTACTTATTTATTCCAACAAGATTCAGAGGTATTGAATAAAAAACCCTCTTTAGAGGCACATCTTCCTATTTTGGACAATATAAATTAGATACTTTCTTTTACTGAAATAAGTAACTATTAAAAGACATAAAACTTGACGTTCTATTTTTTCATTTTGCAAAAATAGCTTCTATTTCTATTACTTAACTTTTAAAATGATAATGATGTGATATGTAATAACAATATTTACCTAATAATTTCTTAAATAAAGGTCTATGACTTCTAGTATTTGAAATTTTATGATGCCATTTAGAATTAAAACTGAATTTTCCATGTAAATCGCATGAAAACAACACTGAATAATATAATATGTAATTATTAACACATTAATGTATGTTGCTGTCTTTCAGCTTGATTTACATTAGATAATTTTTTGTAGGTGATAGACCATTCGTTTGTGACTTCTGTAATAGTGCTTTCAAGACGAAGGCGAGACTGAGAAAACACAAAAAGTCTCATGAAGATGACAAGGTTACTAAAAGGTCCATGCCATGTCCGGTTTGCAATAAAATAATGAAGAGCACAAAGCAACTTTTGGCTCATATGGACACACACGATGGTACTACACCAAATCCATTTTCCTGTACTATCTGTGGAAAGACCTACAAGCATATGTTTTCTTTAAATTTCCACTTAAAGATGCATGGGGGCGTTAGGGAGTTCAAATGCAATTTGTGTGATAAAGCGTTTTGCAACGCAAGTCACTTGAGGAGACATATTAACTCCCATACAGGTGAGATTATTTTTACTTTTTCAGATATTGAGTCAGACACTCATATTGTTGATTGGAATCATTTATTCATATTTTTATTGATAATTTGCATAATGTAGTATACAAAAACAATACTTATTGTATATAGGTAATGGAAGAGTGGGGTAATCTAGGCAAAAATGTAACGATTATATTAAAAAGTCTTGGTTCAAAATATAGGATACAAAATAAATAAATTTTCATTAATTATTTTAGATGTGACCATTTGTCGGAATTATGGATATTGTATGGCCAAGTATATGTGGATATTTTATGTGCACTATACAGGGTGTCACCCAACAAATGTTACATACTTCAAGGGTATAATCTAGAACCCAAATGGTGTCACCTTAACCAAACTTGCTTAAATGAAAAATATCACAAAAAAAGTTACAGGGTGTTATAGTTTATTTTTTTATTTCTTGTTTTCTCCTTAACTGAGAACCCAGTTAACCGTTTTGCGAAAAATTTGCTGTTGCTTAGTTTCTCTTCATGGAGTATACAGCGATTATGTTCCTATTAGGTTAAATCATACAGGGCATTTTACTACAACCTTTTGAGAATATTCTGTAAAATTTTTCTACATTTAAATTTTTACACACAGCTATCAAAAATAGGTACATAATTTTATTCTACACAAAAAATACATACCTATCAAAAGTCAAAATTATGCTTAGTTATGAAGATATTACAGAAAATATTTATTAACACATACCCGAGATACCCCATATTTTTTGGAAATAACTACATATCCGAAACACCATAACAAATCTGGTAAATCACTGTTAAGTTTGTATTCTGCAAAAGTTAGTTTCTGACATACATCTAATTATCTATGGTTTCTGAAAATGCCTCGTCACAATGAATGTACGAATTATGAAATGAGAGATATGATACCTATGTACAGGAACATTTTAGTGGACACGCTGCTAAGAGAATATATGAAAAACTTTAACCGAATCGCAGACAGCCTTCTCATACATTGTTTGCTTCTTTATTCACCATATTAGGAAAAACTGGAAACTTTCGGTCTAATTCAGGAAATGGAATATACGGTTATTATGCTTTATACACAGGCTCTTATGGGGGTGGAAAATACTTTAATCAAAATTGCTCTTGAAAATAGTTAGGATCCAGAAAATAAAATTGTAATTAAAGAATTAAATATTATTAAACATTTTAAAACAATAAAAATATGCACTTACAATGTAATTATTGAGATAATGGAAAGAATAGATATTGACTTTGACAAATTTGAACAAACATCTGATCCAAGAAAGGAAATATGGCAACACTGTACGCTGTATTTAACACTTTGACTAACGCGCTGTATTTGAATAGCTCGATTATAGACTATAAAATTATTCCAGTCGAAAACATACAGGGTGTCCGGTAACTACGAGGAAAAAATAAAGGGTTATATGGAGCAGGTCAAACGAGTGCTAGTACTTCATATAAACTTTTTACCTAGGTGCTATTTATTCTTGAGGAGTTATTGTCACTCAAACTAAGAAGTTGAAAAATAAATATTGTCCATAATTTCTAAAGACTTACTTTGATTAACTTGAAATTTGGGGGATCAAAGCAACTCATTTAAATGTATCTCTGTACATTTAAAATTGAATCAAATATTTTTTATTATACAAGGACGGTCGAAACTATGTTCTAAAATTTATGCAACTTTGACAGAGCTGTCAAATTTTATATTTCGCCCTCGCAGACAGATAGCCCTGTTACTTTTCTACAAAAAGGTATACTTCATGACTTATGAAAGAATGAACGGTTGTCAAGATAATTAAATTTTTGTATTTTGTGTATAGCCACAACCGTAGAGCTGGGTCGCTCGTTCATTTTGGATGTGTCGGCACGTGCGGCACAACTCATTTAAGTGTGCCGTTCAATGCGAGTCGTTCATTTGAACGACACGTGCAAGATGTTGAATGTTGAATATGCTGACAATTGCTCAAGTAAACACTCGTCTCTTGCTCACTCTTGCTCTTTCGAGTTGTGGCTGTGCCTAATATGCACAACTGGTGGAAGGTGGCACTTATTCAGAAAATGCTTTGACAAGTAACAAAATCGTGATCATTACAAATGACCCTATTCTTTACAACTTCCTTCGCCTTCATATATAAGGATGGCTAATCGATTTTATGTTCTTTTTTTTGAACTAGGAAAACTCCACCTAAAAAAAAAACAACTATTTCTCTCTCTATTATTATTTTCTATATAATTTAACAACTCTTATTTATTACATGTCGTAGCATCATCTGTTCCGTGTGAGAGGATTTTTTCCAAAGCAGGGCAAATTGTTACTGCTAAATGAAGCAGTTTACAAGCTGAAAAAGTCTCCCAAATTATATTTTTAAATTATAATTTGTAATAGGTATCTACATAATTTGCAAACATTTTTTTAACTATTACTATTATTATTATTATTATTAACTGCATTTGAGATGATTTTGTTAATTTAATAATTTTTCTGTTTATTTATGCCTAGGAGAAATAAACTTTATTCTATTTTTAATATCTTGATAATAATTTATTGCAGTTTTAAACAATTAAAATTTTTTTGTTTTAACTATTAAAATATTCTACAGTATTCTAATAATAAACATTTATTTTTACATTTGCGGCTCACTTATTCCTAAATTATATTTCTGACATGATAATCAGTCAACGTTATATGGAGAATTCACACATATGTAGTCCAATCGTGAGTCGTGGTATTTACCTCTGACTCTGGAGCTGGAGTGGAACAATCGAGCTCGGCTCTCGGCTCGTTCAATGTTCAGTGCTCGCTCAGTGCCGGTCACAGATTAGGTGCCGATATGAACGATGAACGATTAGCTCCTTCGTTGCGAGTTGTTCGTTTAAGGCACGAGATTATGTGCCGGCACATTCGTGCGAGTCGTTCATGAGCGACTCAGCTCTACACAACCGGGGCAACAGAAAAAAGTTAAGAATGAAACATATGGATTAAATGAGATTACTTCAGTAAATTTTGTTGCACTCTAAATAGCATTTGTGGATTCTGTTTAATTTCATTACAATGATGTTCTATTCTTGTCGTCAACTCTTCTTTTGTATAAACCGGAGTTGAATACACCAATTCTTTTAACCCCACAAGAAGAAGTCAAGGGGGTTAAGATCTGGTGACCTAGGTGCCCATAAGTGTTGTCCGCCTCGCCCAATCCACCTATCACCAAATGTTATGTTGAGTAACCTCTTTTAATCCATGTGTTTCATTCTTAACTTTTTTCTGTTGCGTTGAGTCCCCGGTTGGGGCTATACGCAAAATACAAGAATTTAATTGTCTTGACAACCTTTCACTTTTTCATAAGTCATGAAGTATACCTTTTTTGTAGAAAAGTAAAAGGGTTATCTGCCAGCAAGGACGAAATGTCATATTTGACAGCTCTGTCAAAGTTGCGTAAATTTTAGAACATAATTTCAACCGTCCTTGTATAATAAAATATGTTTGATTCAATTTTAAATGTACAAAGATACATTTGAATGAGTTGCTTTGATCCCCTAAATTTCAAGTTAATCAAAGTAACCCTTTAGAAATTATAGGCAATATTCATTTTTCAACTTCTTACTTTGAGTGACAATAACTCCTCAACAATGGCACCTCAGTAAAAAGTTTATATGAAGTACTAGCACTCGTTTGACCTGCTTTATATAACCCTTCATTTTTTCCCCGTAATTACCGGACACCCTGTATGCAACATAACCTAATTGCAACTTGAAACAAAAATTGAAAGGATCTCTTTGCAAAATGAACAGTATAGATGTTCTGTTATAATCTTCAATTTGACAAGGCGACGTCTCACTACAATACAGTGAGCTTCTTCATAGTTACCATATGGATTCTCGGTTTGCACATTTTACTTTTTTTTTCATCAATCTACGTTCTATCTGTTTCATATGCCTTTTATATTGCTTTTAAGTCATTACTTTTCCTTTATTGGATGTTCATTTATGTTTACGGTATATGCACTAAGCACAGTTGACAGTGAACAAATAGACACTTTTATTCAAATAAAAAGTTAATTGCCATGCATTAAACACGAAAAATATATGCGAGCTTGTATACCACGATCATAATTTTAAAATTCTATTTCTATTCCTATTTTTTGTAGCCACTTGAAAATGTTGTCTCCATAATTTTTAACTGTTTTATATATCTATTGTACATGAAATTATAAAAACCATGCATTTTTAATTTTTCTGACACTAATGAAATTTTCTAACCCTTTTTAGCATATTTTCAACATTATCAGTGAGAACATGTATAGCTTTTATTTTTGAACCTTAATTCCGTATTAATAATATCACTTGATGTAATTTTTTGAATGGTGTTAAAAAATTTTACTCTTTTTACTGAAATGAGTATTTCTGCCACGCTGAAAAGAAAATTTTTAAATAAATAACATTTTGGTCCTAAAGAATCAGTCGAGGGGTTGACTTTATAAATTTAGTTGTACATAACCAGAGACGAGAACATAGATAATTCTTCACGACTACAATAATTACAGTTTACATTTTGAAAAACCTTTTTCCATTATTAAAACCTTCATTATCAAATTGACTTGAAGTCAAATGTGATTTTTTTTTGTTTCGTTTATTTCCTTCTATAGAAGTGTTACATAATATTTAACCTGTTATTAAAGGGACGGTGAATTAATTTTGAGGGATTTACAATAGATGGCATAACTTATGCTAAGTATATCGCATCAGACACTTATTTAACTATATTTATGTTAAAACTGTGTCATTAGACTTTACTGTTTATTATATGTCATTTTCTGAAGTGTAAACAATATTTTTTTCTTCAGCTCCGAAGATGTCGAATTACTTTTCACATTTAATTCAAAGATAAGTGCTGCTGAAAGTCGTAGAGTGTTGTTAGAAACTTAAGGTGCACATACTTCATCGATAAAAATGTGTGAATATTGGTTTCAACGTTTTAGAAGTGATTTCGATACAGGTGACAACCAAAAAAGTTCGAATATGAGGTACTGGAAGCATTACTCGACCAAGATTCATGTCAAATGCAAGATAAACTTGCTGAATCATTGAATTTTGATTGCACAATAGCTTCCAAATGTTTAAATATGACACTCAGTATGATTCAAAAGTAAAGAAATTGGGTGCCATACGAATTGAAGTCGAGAGATGTTGAACGGCAATTTTTCACGTGTGATTAATTGTTTCAATGAGAAAAAAAAGGGTTTTTTTGCACTAGCGATGAAAAATAGATACACTATGATAATCCTAAATGTAGAAAATCGTGGGGTTTGCCTGGTTATTGATCAACATTGACGTCAAAGCCATGATTCATGATTCGAAGCTCATGCTGTTTGGTGAGACCAGATTGGTGTTGTGTACTGCTTCAACCGAATGAAACCATCACAATTGATGCATTTAATTCGTGCATTGAAGAAAAAACCGCCGCAATTCGAACAAAAGCACGATAAAGTAATTTTTCAACATGACAACGCTCAACATGTTGCTCATGAAGTCAAAAAATTTTTAGAAACACCAGTGGCGGCTCGTGACAATGAAAATAGGTGAAGCATATTTATTGATTGATTAAAAATAAAAGTGGCGCAGGCGAAAATTTTCAAATTTTCAATGTCAAACGGCTTTAAATGAATCTGGAAATTTTAGTTGAATTTACTATATTACCGAAAAACTGACGTTGGCGAAAAGGATTTAAATTTTATAAAAAATAGAAATATTAGTTCGACTCGTGGACTTAATGATAGGTACAGATACAGATGTTAAGCGGCGAATTCGCCATATTAAAAAAAATGTCTAGGAACTGTCAAAGTTTTTCGTCCATCACGACAATTAACTGGTACTGGCACTTTTATGCTTCCTAATTCAAATATTTCTTTAAAATTCCTCTCCTTTCTTTTTTAATTTAAAAGTTTTTGGGTATTTTTAATTTGTGACATACAATAATTAATATTTAGTGAGCGTTTCTGTAACACATCAAAAAGAATATCAGTAATTGAAAAACATCCGCACAACCACTTATACTCCGAATACCATTCATTCCGAAACTTCCGAACATACACTTTGTCTTTTAATCTCCCCCTTTTTTCCACATCGAGAGAAGGCACAGGTCTTTCGCAATTTAAAAAATCTTTTTTGTCCTCAATTTTCCATCTGGAAAATGGCATTTCCAATAAAATACATACATGATCGTGCATAGGAAACATTTCTACAAATTACTGGTACAAAACAAATATTAATAAAGAACCGTTATAACCGTGCACTGGGCAAAGTATCGTATATGTTTAAACACGATAGACTAGACAGGCGATGGGCGATTGGGCGATGCCGATGAGCCGATGAGAATGCTGCTTGAACTTTTGCATCACTCGTTCTCCCACGCCGTAGTTTACACATGCGTTGGCTGCCTCGTTGCCATGACAACCGCCGTACGGAGAGCTACGGAGAGAAGCAGATACATACCAATTTCAATATGAGTCACTTGCGTATACTCTACGTTGTTGGTACGAGGTTGATGTTCGCGCTCAACGAAGGCAATTATTTTTTAGAAGGCGTTTTTTAGAATCGCGGAATTATTCTGTTGATTTCTGCGTATAAGACAAACAAACACAATACATTTTCAATATAGAATTATACCTAAATTATAAAATTTATATAAAATTAAAAATAATTTTAAATTGCACAACCAAACGGAAATTTTAGGTGAAGCGGTGCGTCACTTGCGTCACCCGACGAGCCGCCACTGAGAAACACTGAAATGGGATTACTACTTGTTCCGATCCATGGAATACGGCCTGGCTAATCAGCACTTTCAATCTTATGAGGATAGGAAAAATTAGATTGATTGATGGATAGCATCAAAAGATGAGTTGTTCTTTCGAAGCGATGCTTCCCGAAAGATGGCAAATAGTAGTGGCTAGCAAAGGACAACACTGAAAAATAAAAATGTACACAATTTTTCACAATAAAGCATTGAATTTACAAAAAAATTATCAAAATTAGTTCACATTTCTAGTACTTATTTCGTCATTGAGAATATTCAACCAATAACTCTCAACATTTAAAGAACTATGTGAAACAGTTCTTCTGCCTAATAAGCCCAGTTTTTTTGCGGGATTTTAAAAAATTTTTGTTTTACAGCATTAAATAACACGACCATTTCGATAACGAAAACTGAGACGTAAACAGCGTAATGTGTTGTGTAGACGTTTTTGTTTAGACAAATTAAATTTATAAAATCAACCCCTTGACCTATCCTTTTGGTGTAAGGGTTTATTTATCTTACATTTTGAATCTTTAATTTTTAGGTATAAGGCCTTATAGTTGTGATTTATGCATGAGAGCTTTTCCATCCCAACAGAACCTAAAGCGGCATATGATGACTCATACAGGTGAGAAACCGTTCTCATGCCAGCAGTGCGGAAAAGGGTTCCTAACTTTAGAAAATTTAAACCGTCATAAAAGAACTCATACTGGGGAGAAGCCTTTCCCTTGCAATGTTTGTGGCAAATTTTTTGCACACAGGTAAATCCAATTCTACAGTGGGGTCATTTTCGTTCTGTAATTTTTTTCCATTTTTACTGTTGATGAAGATATTTGTGTAGGCATAATAAAATTTCGTAATTCAGAAGCTTCCAAAAAAGTTGTCATCAGTTCCCTACATTAATTTTATTTTTAGGAATTCCATTGCTATTTAATTTATTTTGGAAGTATATTTTATATCTTGTGTTTTTTAAAAACTGTTATTTTTATCCAATTTTAAAAAACAAAACATTGATTTTAATGACTAAAAATACCACAGGCAATTGTCAATTAATCTTAAATTTTATTCCTTGTATAAACTTTATAGACTCAATTATCTGTAAGAATCTAAGAGCTATTTTTAGAAATTCTGAATAATATAAAGGTTTGTGACTTTTTTGTTCAACTGATTTCTTTGTCAGAATGAAACTAAATATGCCTCTGTTATCTGGATTCTACATTCTCTAATTAGAAAGGATTCAGAGAAAATATCTTGAAATATGTTCTAGACTTTTCAAGTAGATTTCACCTAAAAGAACTAGCCAAATGTGAGGTTTAACTTTCTACTTTATTTTATTTTCACATAAAATTTTGAATTATTAAATTAATTTTCCTGATTTACTTAGTAGTTCAATTCAGCTGAGTATTCCTTTACCCATTCTATTTCTTTGTTTAGTTCACACATACAAATATATCGTGCTCTGTTAATTCCAAATGTCAACTGACAAAATAGATATGACCGTATCTTTGTTCTTAGTGCATTAGAAATAATATCCAACAGTCAGACGCAATCGCCTTTGATTCGAAACAATTAATTTTGAACTTTATGGAAGCATTATACAGGATGTCCCGAAATTCATGCAACAAAATTTGGTCACAGATTCTTAAGACAAATTTAGGGGACCCGTATTTGTTATTTTTCCCAAGTGGCCCCCTTTTTCGGAGTTACAGCCCCCTGAAGTCTGCCCCTAAGTATAATTTTTTTTTATACCTCAGAACTAGTGATGGGAGATTTCGAGTGAAAAATCGATTGGTACTCCATTATTGAGATCACTCGAGATATCTCGAGATGTTTACTCCCACCACTCGAGTGATTATTACCCTACGGTTGCACCCCAAAATGTTAGTGCATACTGCAAGTAGTCACTGATTGCGTAACCTTTTTTTTTTTAGAATAAAACGAAAAAGTGGTTAGGTTTTGAAGTGCGTGAGCTTTTTATTTTTTTTTAGCTACGCTTATAAGTAATATATGACTAATACAAACATATTTGTGCGCCGCTGAGATGAAAACGACCAATATCTCGTGTCTCGAGTGATCACTCGATTATTAGAAGTACTCGATTACCTATAACTCGATTATCACAATTGGTCGATTATGCCCATCACTACTCAGAACCCTGTTGTATGAGAATCACTAAATTTGGTACACAGGGGTTTTATGACACGGGAATCTGATGGTGCTAAGTTTTTTGGCGGGGAACCCCCTTAAGACAATTTTTTGTGGGCCCCCTAGTCTTTGGGGCAAAAAAATTTGGTCGCATATTTAAATTTCTTAAAAATTATCAGTCTACTAGAAAGCCATTAAATTTAGAAACTTTTTGTCTCTTTTTACGTTTTTCGAAAAACGCAATGTTTCGAGAAAAATGTCAAAATGTGTTCAAATGCATGTTGTGATTCGCCATTTTCCTCAAAAACATTGAGTTTTACGAAACAAATATCAAGAGACAAATAAGTTTCTAAATTCAATGGTTTTCTAGCTAACTAATTATTTAAAAATAAAATTATTTTGCGACCAAATTTTTCTGGTTCCAAAGACAAGGGGCCCACGAAAAAGTGTCCTACGGGGGTTTCTCGTCAAAAAGCGCAGCGGTGTGAGATTCCACAGGTCATAATACCCCTGTGTACCAAATTTAGTGATTCTCGTACAACATGGTTTTGAGATATAAAAAAGACTTCTTAGGTGCAGATTTCAGGAGGCTGTAACTCCGAAAGAGGGGACCAGTTGGCAAAAATAAAATATACGGGTCCTCTAAATTTGTCTTAAGAATCTATGACCAAATTTTGTTGCATGAATTTCGGGACACCCTGTATAGGAATGATCATAGGTCTGATTGTTGGAAACTGTTTTGGACTGCTCTAGGAACAAAGCATTTATATGGGAAGTAACTTTTGAGTGGGGGTCGCATTTATACAGAGACTACCTTTGATCTTCGGAAACTCGTTTCAATAGTGTATTTTTTCAAATTCCGTCTTGAAAACTTAATCTTTCTTTAACCTTTCTTAGTAATTTTCATACTCCACCACATCCTGTACTGGTACAACGGTCCTCTTCCACCGCGATTAAAATTTCTGGTTCCTAATTTCCCGTTCTCTGAATTTGTTCCCGTCCAACATTAGCATATTGGTGTTCAAAGCTTCCATAATTTATTAAATGTTGAACAAATCTCACAAACATCTTATTCAGCACTTGATGGTTGGGATAATCCAACTGATATCGTCTTCTTGCAGCAGAATCGTTTTCCCCGAATAGAAAGTAGTTGCTATGATTAGAGCATATCAACTCTTTCTTGATTCATATACATGCTTCTTCATATCATACGAAAAAACAAGAATACACTGTACTGTCACTAAACATTGAGATAAATAACTTTATATGGTTATACATTTCATTACATAAAGGCACTATATGAACCCACTTTTGTAAACTGATATAGTTGAAAACAAAACCGTAATGATGTATTCGGCCATTTCCGTTTAGCCGAATTAACAGGGCAGTTTATTTTTAATGCATTTACCATCTCGTCATATCATACCACGTGAAGACAATTGGCGGTAGCCAATTTTTAAATTAAAGATATAGCATGTAAACAGAACAAAAGACGCTAGCCTCTGCTGCCCCCCTTTGTAAGCATTCAGAACAGGGTCTGCTTAAAGTTAAATTTTTCACGGTTTAATTTTGTTGCTATTTTATTTATTTTGGATTAATTTATTATGTCTACCAGCGATTCGCTGCTGAAGTAGCTGAATAAGAAAAAAGAGTGGAAACATATCATATCTCTTTACATACGTGTACTGTACCTAGTGACAGTAGTACAGTCCAGTTAAACTAGGTCAATGTCGGAGGTCATTGATACTATTTAAAAAACTAATTATAACTCGATTATTTATTTGATTAATAAATGAAGAATTTCTGATTCGTATTCAGGGAAACATGTACTATTGCCCCTAAAAAAAACTGACCCCCACTTAAACTTACACCCTGTATAATTTAATATTGGTCATATCTATACAGGGTGTCCCATCACGAACTCCATTGATGGATATCTGGGAAACCGCTCAAAAGATTTTTTTTGAAATTGTGATGGTGGAACCCCCTGTATATTATTGCATTTTTGGAAATATTATCTATTTTTAAGTTGAAAACATATAACACACTACATACATAGGATTGACCGTTTCCGAGATATTTTGATTTTTAAGCAATATTTGACAGATGCAGACTGTCAGCAAAATTTAGTTTTCCCGGAAACAGGTTTATTTTTTTGTGCAAATTGGACATTTTCTAGAGGAAGACCTAATTTATCGAATTTGACATGAAAATTTTCCAATTTTTATACAGGGTGGTCAAAAAAAATGATCGAATATGAATTTCAGAAAATGTGGAAAACTAGAAATTTTTAATTGGAAACCCCTAATTTGTTAACATATTCGCATTCTGTACTAAAATTAAGTGTAACTTTGTTAAAGTTTCCCTATACACCTAAACCCAGTGGTTTTTATTTTATTTACGAATAAACATTTCCCTTTTCTTAAAATGATGTTTCCATTTGTTTCGCAGATTTTAGGTTGGCCGTGACAGGTAACAATCAACATGACAACTATCACAGGTTTTTAATTGTCAAATTTATTTAGTTCCTTGTGGGTCGATGCTCTAATAAAATCCAGTTATATATGCTATTTTATTTGGGACACTAAAAAATAGTGTTTACTCCAGTAACATCAAAGGAAAATTGTATGCATAGAGTAAGGCAAGCATGTGAGCATCTATCACCGGAGCAGCGACCCACAAGGAACTAATACTAAGGTGTGAAAATTGTTTAGAAGTTGGGAAGTTGAAGGAAGATATTTTGAACATTTATTAAAATAAATTTGACAATTAAAAATCTGTGACAGTTGTCATGTTAATTGTTACTTACCTATCACAGCAAACCTAAAATGTGCGAAACAAATGGAAACATCATTTTAAGAAAAGGGAAATGTTTATTCGTAAATAAAATGAAAACCACTGGGTTTAGGTATAGGGAGACTTCAAAGAAGTTACAATTAATTTTAGTGCATAATGTGAACACGTTAAAAAAATCAGCGGTTTCCATTTTCCACATTTTCTGTACTTCATATTCAATCATTTTGTTTTAGCCACCCTGTATAAAAATTGGAAAATTTTCATGTCAAATTCGATAAATTAGGTCTTCCTCTACAAAATGTTCCATTTGCATAAAAAAGTAAACCTATTTTTCTGGGAAAACTAAATTTTGCTGACAGTCTGCATCTGTCAATTTTTGCTTAAAAATTAAAATATCTCGGAATTGGTCAATCCTAAGTATGGAGTGTGCTATATATTTTCAACTTAAAAATTGATGATATTTCCAAAAATGCAATAATATACAGGGGGTTCCATTTAAAATAAGAAAGTTAGTATCGACTTCCGGTATAACCGTAAGTACGATGACCTTGAAAATATTTTAGCTTGGTAGGCCCTACGGTTCCCTATATATCCATCGATGAAGTTCGACGGTGGGACACCCTGTATAGAGGAATTACATTTAAAACACAGTTTCCTAAGGATATCTATAACAAAAAAAGTTTCAACTATGCACTGGAAAAATAGTGATTACTATGACCCTGCATGAAAAGGTATGGATTCGACTTACATGAACAGCGCAAAGGCATTAATTAGTTTCAATTAGTTTTGAAAGGTAGCAATAACTGTATTATTGGATGAAATCCAATGGTTCAAGAGAAATTAAATGACGTATTAAAATGAACAAATCCTTATTTTGTGTAATAAATAAATCGTATTAGCGTATATATATTCTAAAATAGGAAAAATTTTACTTCACTACATACACTGATGAAAAAACATGTTCCTTTTTAATATCATTTTAATTTGGTGCGTATTATTATTTTGTTACTATTGAACATTTATTAACAAAATATTGTTTTGGTAGTAATTACGAAAAAAATTAGTCTTTTTTAATTCAGTATAAAACTTTTTCAGTATTCTTTCCAACTAGTTTCGGTTATTATGCTTCAGTGAAATAAACATACCTAAGCAGTTGTAGTACTTTTGGAGCTGCTAATATTAATCTTTTTTTTTTTCTTCTAAAATAGGACCAAAAATAATGGATTATAGCTTACGGTATTCTTTAAAAACACACAGTATAACTTTTAGATACAATTTCGCTTATGAAAATGACCCTACTGTTGCTTCCTCATGTTGGGATTGGAAAAGTTACAAAAAGTTTTAATAATTGTATATTTTTAGCACAACGGCCAAAGAACACCAACGTATTCACACAGGTGACAAACCGTTTGGTTGCAGTGTTTGCGACAAACGCTTTTCGCTGAATAAAGCATTATACAAGCATATCCGTGAACGTCACCCTGTATATTTCCCTGAGTTCAAACGCCTAAACGACCTACCTCCGAATGTTAAACGGGCAAGGGAGAAGATCAAGAGAGAACTAGAAGAAATCGATATTAAAAATGTGACTGTAGTGACAGACGTGAACACAAGTGACAGTAAAAGTGATATAGTTAAGAAAAGTGAGAATTTAGACAATGAAGAAAGAACGAAAGAGATACCTTTTGTTAAGGTCGAAAAACAGGAGTTTGATGATTGTTATTGAACATGGAAAAACGTTTTTATCGTTTTATTTGTTGTGTTCAAATAAATTTTCTTTTTTTTTAATAAGCTGTTATTAGTTATGATGTGCTGGGTAGGTACTGGTAACCGAAACAATTAATAATAACGTTCCCTAATTGCCGAAATGAAGAATTATAATTAAAAAGAGTATTTATTTTTTTATACATGACTTCATTAGTACGAGAGTTGCATTTTATATTTTGGGAATAGAGAACAAAAAAATAATTTATCATCGTATATGGCTTCATTATTTTTCAAAATATTCTCCATGAACAACAATACATTGCATGGTCTTGAACCAATTTTCAATGCCCTTTTTCCATTCCGATTCCAAAACATACATTTTAAACGCATTGCCTGCTTCTTCAGTCATCAACGTTGACCTCATAATTCTTTCATGTGCGGAATAAAAAAAGTCATTGGGTGCCAAATCAGGTCTGCACGGCGGATGACTCATCAATTCGACTTTTTCAGTCTCTTGTTTGAGCTTATTTTTCTAAAGAATTATGGCAAACAAATGGTTTGTACCACTCAAAATTGATTGTCCAATGTTACATTAATGGTACAGCTACCATGATTTTTTCGAAAAAACGCGACCAACTGCTTAGAAGCCCTTAGAAGCTGATAGGCATAGATCCATAACTTGTCACCTGTTACGATGTCATAGACGTGTTTTGAAGCACCACAATCGTATTTCTTGAGCATTTCTTTCGACCAATTGATACGAGCCTTTGTCAAATTATGTGGGATCCAACGTGAACAACTTTTTTTGGCGGTCAAATGTTCATGCAATATTCAATGTATCTAGCCCTACTAATGCCCAAGGATCTCACGATAAGTCACGTGGCGATCTTGCAATATTAGTTCATGCACAACATCAATGTTTTCTGTAACAACAACCAATTTTGCTTGATCCTCAGAAAACTTCTTGGTGAGCAAACTACGACCACGATTGAATTCTGTTTACCATCGATATACAGTGGTTTTTGATGGTTTTTCATTGCCAAAAGTCGAATTAATCTCATCGATGCACTGTTGTTGAGATAATCCATTTCGAAAGGTGTGTAAAAAGTAATTGCACAGAAATGGTCATGATTTTATCTTTTTTTAGGCCGAGATGAATTTTTCAATTCACCGTGAATAACACAAATAGCGCCTGTATAGTTTTTCCGAAGTCAATTATTGAAGAACCAATATCTTCAAGGTATGTACCAGGTTCGGTTGCTAAGCGGCAACTCGGCATTGAAATATTTGAAAAACTTGTTCCCACATTTATTTAACCATACCCATATACAGATCTGGTCGAACTAACAGTGCAGGTGGTAGAAATATATATGCTCAGTTGAAGAATGAGCGTGCGGGTAAAGAGCAATGCGCACTGTTTCTCTGGTCCATTGCGTTGTCAAAATTCAGTTGTCGATTAGTCGCCTAGCAGTGCAGTGCGGGAATGCGGAATTTGGTGTGATTCAGATAATTTTAATTTATTATAGGCACCCTTCTATTAATCATTCATATTACAATTGTGAAAGGGAAAAATAAGAGGGATATTTGGTTTACTAATATTATTTGTATTATTATGGCATTTTGGAGACATTTTGAAACGAAACAAAACGAAATTTACCATCAATATAATAAAATTGTTTGAGGACATAAATAATTAATATATGTTGTTGGTCAAATGAACATATAATAGACATTTTCTACACATTATATACAAATTATTATAATTTTCTACCTTTAGCAGAAAACTTTTTTAGGGACGCCCATGAAACTTATAAAATTTGATTGCTCGGTTTTTTTATGCATGTTCAACTGACTCCGGAAGAACTATACCTACTCAAAATGTTCTGAGTAAGTATACTGATGCATCAAACTTTACAATAGGGACGTCGGTTGTCATATGGCAGCACTAGGATCGTCCATTCCCGAAATATAAAAGCCAAACCTCGTATCTTTTCAAAAATAATGTAATGGATTAGTTCTCATTAAATAACTTTTTTTTGTAACTTTAAACTTTTTGTTTTAAAATAATGGTTGTTGAATATTTTACCAACAAAATTCTACAAGCCAAAAATAAGAAATAACATGAACATAGGTCTGCAAATTTTGGCTCCTCTNTCGAATTAATCTCATCGATGCACTGCTGTTGAGATAATCCATTTCGAAAGGTGTGTAAAAAGTAATTGCACAGAAATGGTCATGATTTTATCTTTTTTTAGGCCGAGATGAATTTTTCAATTCACCGTGAATAACACAAATAGCGCCTGTATAGTTTTTCCGAAGTCAATTATTGAAGAACCAATATCTTCAAGGTATGTACCAGGTTCGGTCGCTAAGCGGCAACTCGGCATTGAAATATTTGAAAAACTTGTTCCCACATTTATTTAGCCATATCCATATACAGATCTGATCAAACAGTGGAACAGTGCAGGTGGTAGGAATGTATACGCTCAGTTGAAGAATGAGCGTGCGGGTAAAGAGCAATGCACACTGTTTCTCTGGTCCATTGTGTTGTCAAAATTCAGTTGTTGATTAGTCGCCTAGCAGTGCAGTGCGGGAATGCGGAATTTGGTGTGATTCAGATAATTTTAATTTATTATAGGCACCCTTCTATTAATCATTCATATTACAATTGTGAAAGGGAAAAATAAGAGGGATATTTGGTTTACTAATATTATTTGTATTATTATGGCATTTTGGAGACATTTTGAAACGAAACAAAACGAAATTTACCATCAATATAATAAAATTGTTTGAGGACATAAATAATTAATATATGCTGTTGGTTAAATGAACACATATAATAGAAATTTTCTACACATTATATACAAATTATTATAATTTTCTACCTTTAGCAGAAAACTTTTTTAGGGACGCCCAGGAAATTAATTAAATTTGATTGCTCGGTTTTTTATGCATGTTCAACTGACTTCGGAAGAACTATACTCAAAATGTTCTGAGTAAGTATACTGATGTGTCAAACTTTACAATAAGGACGTCGGTTGTCAAATGGCAGCACTAGGATCATCCATTCCCGAAATATAAAAGCCAACCCTCGTATCTTTTCAAAAATAATGTAACGGATTAGTTCTCATTAAATAACTTTCTTTTGTAACATTAAACTTTATGTTTTAAAATAATGGTTGTTGAATATTTTACCAACAAAATTCTACAAGCCAAAAATAAGAAATAACATGAACATAGGTCTGCAAATTTTGGCTCCTCTTTGAGCTATAGTGAAAAAATTTTATTACTTTTTTAAAGACAGTCCATTAAAATTCTGTCAAACCGAATGTAAAAATTACCATTTGAAATAATCTGCAAGGTGGTATTTTTGTTACGACACACTCTTATTTAAGGGGTACCACCTCTCTAGAGGTTGAATTTTCGGGAATTTGCAAGAAAAAATCGATACAAGATATAGTGTCAGGAACAAAAAGGATTTATTGTACATCTTTGCAGGTTTTCAGGTAGTATTGTGGTTTTTGTCAAACAATTTAAATTCGGAATGGTGGCTAGGAAGAAGATCTGGAAAATGACAATTTCGCGACTTTTTGTTTCGGCAAGCTGAATTTATCACTGTAGATGCTAAATATTATGTACAATAACATATTAGTTTCCACAGTCATAAAAAGGGGGGAAGATTGTTTACAGGTTGGTTAATTGTATAATTTTTACGTAAATTCAAGTTTTTCGCTTATAACTTTTTTCCGTTCATTTCCACGAGAAAACAGTAAAGTACTTTTTTTCGGCTTCAAAAAACCTACAAAACTAGCCCTTGAGCGTCAAAAAATATTGATTAGATCAAAAGTTATAAACAGAAGAAGTTTATTTATGACTTTTGAATTAAACATTAATAAACTGCGTTATTATTACCTGAACATTTTAGCATCGTATCCTCTCATTCCTTATCACTGTCTAATAACTCAAACGAAATCTGGAATCGGTAAGTTGAACAGTTTACAAGTTATGGCCTTGTAAAGAAATTAACAAATTATTATTCTGGACGACACAATCACACTGACTTTTCATGGTATATTTCACAATAATACAATGAAATCTATCATTTTTTTCTAAATTTCAAATTTGCAACCTGGAAAGTTTTTTATTTTTTAGCCTTAGTTGCAAAATGAAATATACGACGCACGCGCGTGATATAGTTATATATTATTACATATTCGGAAAGCTTATGAAAAGAGCATTAAGTTAAAAAAAAATCGTCAAGATTCGTTGAAAAACAACGGAGTTACAGACTGTCAAATATATTATTTTCAAGCGAATTTCGCTTTTTTAACGGCAGGACTATGAATATTATCGTCATTTTCTTTGAACTCGCTATCGTTCGCTTCCCCCACCCTTCCGCCGCGCCACGGCTCGCCGAAAATCAAGTGACCCACTGACTTGACAGTATTTCTTATGCACTTAATATACTTCCGCAAATAAAATATTTTTATCTGGGAAAGTACTAGGGTTGCCGGTTATAACAGTATTTTTTTTTGCCGCTACCAAACTAATTTATTTAACTTTGACAGTCCAACTATATTTTCTGGCCTAAGTAGGTATTAACAAGCAACAACACCTTTTTTTCAGAAGGCAGTGATTCACAAACAGTGACCAAAAATGAAATCTCGTATTTTTTAGTGAATTTTTCATATAAAATTTTTGTCTAGGTTGCTTCTTTAAAAAGATAAAAACTTATAAAAAATATTTTAAATTTGTTTAATTAATTTAAAAACTAGTAAGTGAAATAATTCGAAATTGGGCACATGTATTTATGTAAACATTATCCAAAACCTGAGGCCTTTTTCTAAAATTTAGATGCTCCAATGGCGTAGATACAGGGTATTGGTAGCATATTTTTTTAAATAAAATAGTACGCCACTGCTTTACATGAACAATCATGATATTTTTGCATTCATCTTTCAATTTTCTACAAATTACTACTCTCTTATGTTTTTTTTAAAAAAAACTGATTTTCGAGTAAAACAAAAAAAAGAACAGAAAATACTTTTACTTAAATGACATGGCAAACACTAATCATT